CTCATTGCTATCAATAGTATGGTGTGCTAATGCTCTATTATGGCGATAAAGCTGATTGCAAAAGTCTCTTTGTTGCTGCTTATGCAGCTGCTAGTGCCATGTGTGGACGCAGGTAGCTGGCAGAGCTGCCGTAAAGTGTCCGTGGCAAAGTGTGGTGTAGGTGACAGCCGTAGTGGTGGCCACGAGTACCGGTATGACATTGAAGCGTACCGGTACAAGTGGACCAAATACCCACACGAAGCAACAAGCTACTGGGGGCCCTTTGTATCCACATTTGCTTTGAGTCAGATGCTCCAGTCCTGTCAGGTCTGCTCTAACGAAACAAGGCCTACCCAGGGGGGTCCCACTCTGAACCCCTCGCTGCAGTCGAGAACCAACATCATGATCGTTGACAACAACATCGGCACGCTTGGCACTGACAAGGCAGAGATCCTCTCTCAGATCCCATGTGGTATAATGTGCAGGATGTGGTTTGTGGGTTGTAACCTAACGACAATAGAGGTAGGGGCGTTTGCTAAGTTGCCACAGGTATCTACCCTGGTCATCTGGCGGAGCAATGTCCAGACTTTGAAGAACGGCACGTTTGCTGGGATGGAGGGCCTGAAGTATCTGCTGACCTTGGAGAACAACCTGACACATCTGGAGGTAACAAATAGCACTCATTGACATCCTTTTTTATGTGGGACTCATCTCAAAGTGGATATTCTTTGTAAGGCAGACAAGTCTCGTAATATGGTTCTTGTTGTGTTGTAAGATTGTCGTAAACATGAAGTTTATCTTCAACAATATGCGATGATTCAAATTGAACTTCGTGATCAGCCATCGTTTTCAACAATAATTCTGTATCGTGTATGTTTCTGCTAAAGGATGGCTGCTTCCATGGGCTGCCCAGGTTGTCCCAACTCGTCCTGGTGGACAATCAAATCCTGACGCTGTCGCCTGGCACCTTCCTTGGAGTGCAGCCACCCTGGTTTGACGTAAGTGCCAATCACATCACTAACGTAGCACCGGGGACCCTGCAGGCGATCAAGTCCGTAGAACGTATCGGTTTTGTGCAGAACAAACTGCGCTCGATCGACGCGGCGATGTTCCACGGGCTTGAGCGACTGCAAATCCTGAACCTGGAGGGTAACAAAATCTCCCACATTGCTGACGGCGCATTCCACTCAAACACAAAGTTGACTTCCCTAAACCTTGCAGAAAACAGGCTGACCTTCCTGTCTGGTGGCTGGTTCGAACAATCATTTCCAGGCGCTCTCGTCGTGTATGGAAATGGTGTTGCCGCCATTGCGCTTGAAGGGAGGGGGTTGTCTTGGAAAAGAATCTACATGAGCAATCGTCCGCGCTGTACGTGTGCCAATGATTGGCTGTACGAGAAAGGGGGCGGGACCAACCCAAAGTTCAAGCAGCGCTATAGAAGTACCATACGGGCAGCAAGCTGTCCCGCCTTGGCACTGATGCGAAACCTCTCCGCGCCAGTCTATCCCAGCGGCACACTGCCCTGCCCGCCACCGCTAGTGGAGATCGGTACAGTCGAACGTACAGGACCGTACAGGACCGTGGGCAGGGTGTACTGGGAGCAGCTGCCCCAAGTGACCTGCTGGGCCTTCCCTCCAAACGACTCACGACACTCGTTCAACATGACGTACGACAAAGACACGACCACACACGACAGTCTCCCGACAGGTAACCTAACCGTGAGAGTGGTGACCGACCTAAAGGCTGAGGGCTGGGTGAAATGTAAGGGACCAGAATCAGGAAATCACAGCCTGTGTTCTAACTACATGGGGAGATCCAGCTTCACCCTTTGGCTTGAGACCGCCGAGCCCTTGCCCTTTGGGAACACCACTTGTACGGCTTCTTCGGAAACTGGCTCCCACACTGCCGTCTTCGCGGCGAGCGCGCGCGCACACTCTGACACGACAACACTACAAGCGACAGAGCTCCCACACACAAACACGACACCACACTCTGCCAGTATTCCCTCTACACCACTGTCCACTAGCGCGACTCCTAGTAATGACCAAGACGACACAAACACATTGTACAAGGTGTTGGCTGTTGCAGGCTGGTTACTGGCTGTTGTTGAGTGGCCGGTGATTTTGTTCTGTGCCTGGTGTATGATCAGGCATAGCAAAGGCCCAGGTAACGGCGCAGGTTCATCCCGCAATGGCAATCATATCAACGCCTGCTCTAGGTGGCCTTTGTCAGGTGGCATCTCGGATGGCTCAGTGATCAGTCCTTACGCTGAGGGGCGTTTGCAGGATCACGACAGCTCGGGTGTTTCAGTGATCAGCCCCTACGCTGAGGGTGGTTTCCAGGACCACCCTGATCTGCGCAGGGCCGGTTCGTCTTGCTCAGAAGCCGTCCCGTACGGCCAGGCCAAGCTTGGCGCCGCGTACGCAGCCCGCCCCCGCGCGCAGACCCACCCCGTGCCGTCCCGCCCGTACAACACCGAGCGCCGCCGTCAGACACCAGACAGGGGAAGGGCCGTCGTGGCTGGCTATGGTCAAAACGGCAGCGATGAGTCTGGTGGCAAAAACTGCTACCAGCACCCAGTCATTCTGCCCAACCAGCAGGGTGCCACAAAGTCCCCCGCCTACCAGCAGAATGCCAGCGGCGCTCTGCGCACCGGCAAGGCAGCTAGCTACAACTCCCCTTCCCTGTCGGGTGTCACAAAGTCTCCCGTCTACCAGCAGAATGCCCGCGGCGCTCTGCGCTCTGACAAGGGAGCTTGCTACAACTCCCCATCCCTGGCCAGACACATCTAGACCCTACCCTGTCCTAGCCTGGTATCCAAACCTGTTTAATCTTCAAGCAAAGGAAAATTGCGGAGAGGACGAAATAGATTTGGCAGCTAAGATATGTCTGGATACCAGGCTAACATTGTCCAGCCCCAGCACATATGACCAGCAAAGTAGTCTGCCACTCCGTAGAGTCTATTTAAGCCAATAGCTACGAATCTGCACAGTAGTGAGCCCGACATTTAATTCTATTTCACTCCCTCCAATCAATATTTCAATTAAATTCTTTGCAAACATGGGGGGAGGGGTCTTTAAATATTATGGACACAGATAATAACATTTGCCTTAAATTTGGTCTGGTAAACAATTACATTTTAAGAGGATGGTACATATTATTTGTAGCGAATTTAAACTTTAAATGAAAGTGCCAATATGCCAAAAGAATATTTATGTAACAAAATGAAAAAGAAATGGCAATGTCTGGTAATATGATTATTCTAATCTGTTTAAGATTAAATTGGAAATGAAAAGAAAAGGCTGAAAATTCTGTGTATATTACCTTCTTTCTACATGTTTTCATTCTTTTTCAGGTTCTCTTTTTGTTGTTGATTTTTGCTTTGCTTCCCATTCATGCGTTTTATTATTAAAGCTTTGGCTAGCACTCCATATTTTTTCTTCAATTTTGTCTGAATTTCTGCCAAAATGTTTTAACGACTGCAGAGGAATTTCTTGGTATGATAAAAATGGTTACAGAGATAACATTTGGGGTTTTGACGAGACAACATAAGAAGTCATAGAAGCACATTTCGGTGTTGTAAAATATTAGGGTTTTGTAAAACGACATGGTAAACATTGCAGTTTTGAGATTGGCAGAATCATGCATAAATTCATTTCTGACAATTCTGTACAGCGCTAGTATACCGGGCTGAAAAAAAATAGAAATTCGGTATTTACTGCAAAATTTGGAAACTGAATGTATGCGGAGACTAAATTGTATACTACTAGTACTTCAGTCTCCTTGAAATTCCAGCTCCTAAAACTCCTAAAATTTTGACCAAAAGTGCAGAGATTCCTGTTGGAATAAAATATAGCCTGGATGCTGTCCTGCTTATATTATATAATTATGTGCTGCGTACTTAGATGTTGTTGTTTTTTTTTTTCAAATTTCTCAGGACGGTATCTAGGCTGTAGCTGGTACTACTATATAATGTACATATTATTCTAAAGACTTTCTTGTAAAATTGTATGTCAGTAGTACGTAGCCTTTGGAAACCAGGAAGGAGGATAATTCTGCCTTAGAAAGCCTGTTTCATGTATGAAATTATCCGGTCAAACGGCTCTCTAAGAAACGACATGCTTCTTATTCCAATTTTTTTACAAAAGACATTTTATACTCCTTTCTGGTTCAAATTAAAAAGACATAAACAATATGTAAGTGAGACAGTGCAGGTGGTGTCAAAACCTTTGCAAAATATTGTCTATAACAATAATTCACCATGATATTTGTTAAACCATAGTCTGACAAAAATATATCATAGCATTCATGAACTATTCTAACACAAGCATCATAGCAAAATAAATTAAAAATCATAGCATTGTCTAAAAATGACTGGAGAAAAGCATCCGAGTGTTTGGACTGAAACCCAAAAGCCGTGATGCAATAAGCTCCTAGGACTCGAACTCGCGACCTTCTGATCCACAGCCATGCTGCATATTGGTCACTACCTATTTGGGGTATTCTTGCTTGCTGTGCATGTAGCATTTACTGTTTCAGGTGGTGAAGTCATAATCATTTAAGATGGCGGGGTCATGAGGCAAACAATTGGGAACTGGAAAAAAGAACACAGGCAATTGAACACATAAATGTAAACAATTGATGTCATTTGCCAGACCCAGTATTTTGCACCAATACAGCTACAGGCTTTGTTTACAAACCTGTTATTTACGAAAATCAAGAAATCTGTATATGACATGACTCTCTGTACAGTGAGTGCAGGTGCATATGTATCATACATGTGTGTCTAATTAATAATAATTATAAG